AAACTACCAATAATGTTAATACTGGTGTGTTATTTCAATGTTTTGTATCAGAGTATACTGTGGTCATGACTTCTTTTGCATTCAAAAAACTAAGTGTAATGGTGTATTCAGAAACTTCGATTTCTTTCTGATGCTCAATATTTTAGTAAAATATTTAGTAAATAGTAATACTTCAAGTACAGCTATAATGATTAATATTTCCTCTTCCTCAAAACTGGTGTTGGGGTGCACAATGATGGCTCAGAATTTAAGCACACACACTGCTTTTCCAGAGGACTCAAATTTGGGTGCCATCTTCCATGTCTTTATTCTCACAACTGCCTATACCCCCAGATCCAGGAATCCAATGCCTCTTCGGGAACCTTCACTCATGTAGACTTACCCATACACAAGCATAAAGCAGCATACACAATTTTTAAAATAGTAAAAATAATTTCTGGAAGTCACTGGGGAAGAGAATTGCATATGCTGTGTCATTTCTAAAAGAAAAGAAATGATGACATTAAGAAACTGATAGAACTTGGGCATGTTAAAGAGACCTTTGCAGCCTGTGCTTATAAAAAATTTGGTGCAAAAAATAAGTCTGGATCTAAATACAGTTGTTATGATTAAACCACATCAGAAATGCCCAGTGAGTTTGTTTCCTTTGACCCTTCCTGAGGATGTGATCTGATAGCCAGTCATCACTGAGAGGGTAGGAAGTCAAGCAGGGAACTAAGAGAAGGGAAAAATGTCTCAGGGTGTTAAGTGGAGGGACTTATAAATAAAAATGCCAGACATATTTGGAAGGGAGGTGGGGAGAGAAGAGAACACTAAGCTAGAAACCATTGCAAGCTCTAAAACAGGAAAGCATAGAAATAAGGGGCCAACGTCTACACTGCAATGCACCCCAGACCTAGGAACAGAGTTCAGCTTGCAGACATGTAAGACAGATAGCTGTTTCTCTGAATTATGCAGAGAATGATAGGTGTGAACAACCCATGTATGGATGCAGGTACATACGTTCAAGATCCAGCAATTCCACTCTTAGGCATATATCCAAAAGATGCACATTCATACAACAAGGACATCTGTTCAATGATGTTCATAGCAGCACTATTTGCAATAGCCAGAAACGGGAAGCAGCCTAGATGCCCCTCAACTGAAGAATGGATAGAGAAAATATGGTACATTTACACAATGGAGTACCACTCGGCAGAAAAAAACAATGGAATCTTGAAATTTGCAGGAAAATGGATGGAACTAGAAGAAACCATTCTGAGTGAGGTAACCCAATCACAAAAAGACAAACATGGTATGTACTCACTCATATGTGGATTTTAGACATAGAGTAAAGGAATACCAGCCTACAATCCACACTGCCAGAGAGGCTAGTAAACAAGGAGGACCCTAAGAGAGACATACATGGTCCCCTGGAGAAGGGGAAAGGGTCAAGATCTGCTGAGCAAATTGGGAGCAAGGGAGGAGGAGCGAGGGAGCTAGGAGAATGAGAAGGGGAGAAGAGGAGGGGAGAGGAGGACATGAGGGAGCAGAAAGGTTGAGTCGGGGGAATAGAAGAAAACAAGAAAGGAGATAACATAATAGAGGGAGACATTTTAAGTTTACAGAGAAATCAGGCACTTGGGAAAGATCTGGAGCTCTACAAAGATGACACCAATTAACAATTTAAGCAACAGAGGAGAGGCTACCTTAAATGCCCTCCCCTGATAATGAGATTGATGACTGACTTATATGCCACCAGATAGCCTTCATCCAGCAGCTGGCGGAAGTACAAGCAGACACCCACAACTAATCAATGAACTGAACTGGAATCCAGTTGCAGAGAATAACGAGGGATGGGCAAAGGGGTCCAGACCAGGCTGGTGAAACCCACAGAAACAGCTGACCTGAACGTCGGGGAGCTCTTGGTTCCCAGACTGATAGCTGGGATACCAGCATGGGGCTGAACCAGACCCCAAGAATGTGGGGTTCAGGGAGGAGACCTTGGAAATCTACGGGACCTCCTGTAGTAGTTCAGTACTTATCCCTAGCATAGCTGTGGACTTTGGGAGCCCAATTCACATAGAGGATTACTCCCTGAGCCAAGACACACAGGGATGGGCCTAGGCCCTATCCCAAAGAATATTATAGACTCAAATGACCCCCTATGGAGGGAATCACCTCCCTGGGGAGCAGAAAGGATATGTGATAGGTGGGGTTTTAGGTGGGAGTGAGGTAGGGGGAGGAGGGGAGGGAGAGGGAACTGGGATTGTCATGTAAAATAATCTTGTTTCTAATTCAAATAAAAAAGAAAAAAATAGATGCATAGATAAATAATAGCCATATCATGACCTATCAAGCCCTGCCTGTCAGATTCACTTCTTTTTATTATGTCCTCTCTGGGATTTACTAATTTGTATTGTTTTACTTTGTTTTTTGAGACAGGGTTTCTCTGTGGCTTTGGAGGCTGGCCTGGAACTAGCTCTTGTAAACCAGGCTGGTCTCGAATTCGCAGAGATCTGCCAGCCTCTGCCTCCTGAGTGCTGGGATTAAAGGTGTGCACCACCACAGCCCATCTTGGGATTTACTAATTTTTATTTGCTTATGAGGCTGTCATGGGGCTAAAGCATAATCCCTATGTTTGTGGAGTGACTAGTATTTACATTTCAGCATGATATCACAGTTACAATGTCCCTGGTAACAAGCATAGTTATTATATTATCCTCCCAGACGTTGTGACTCAGAGCCAGTTCTCAGACCAAATGTTTGGAGGGGGAAAAACTGTACCACTGAGTCATATCAGGATTAGAGGGATGATGTTTCCTGAACAAAGGAACTTAAGGAGGAAGTAAAGGGAGCTTTAAGGAGTCACAAGGAGTAGCTTGGAAGTTAAGTCACAGCATGTCTTCATTATTGACAACAGACTCCAGCTCTGGAAAACCACCTTCAATGGAAACAAAGCATTGGTGGGCAACCATCTTGTAAGGGGAAAAACAACTCTGGTTTTGCCCCTAACTCTTCACAAATTTGAGCTTCAGAGATCTCCTAGGAAAAGATGGGGCAGTTACACTGAGAAGGGTGTACTTGCTGGTCTCTTAATCAGATACTTGCAAGGCTTGTCATCTGATGCCAGACAGAGCCACCGACATTCACCATAGTTCCAAGTGTTTTGAAAATTGTCCTAACTGCCTAAACACATTTCAATGAAAGAGGACAGTGCTTAGCCTCGCTCGGTCATGACTGAGATAGTCATAAGGGTGACAGTCATCACTAACAGAATGCCAGATCTCTGCTAACCACTCCTTATTCTGCTGGTTACCATTTTAAATGCTCATCTTTGAGTCCTTGCATGGAAGGGAGGGACCACCTTATGCTGTGCCCATTTCCATCTCTCTGTCTCCTTCAGTGAGCCTGGAAAGGAAGAGCCCTGGGTGACCTTGATCTTGACCACACTTGCCTACAGAGAAGTTCTGACTTATTCTTTTCTGCTGGTATTGAGATTATTATTTCAGAAGTGAAGCCCAGCTGAGAAGACCAATCTGGGGCAGCTTTACCTACATTAGGGATGAAGCCAATACCATGATCCCACTTTACTTTTCCTCCCTTCCCTTCCCTTCCCTTCCCTTTCCTTTCTTTTCTTTTCCTTTCCTTTTTTTTTTTTTTTTTTGGTTTCTCTGTATAGCTTTGCAGCCTATCCTGGCACCCGCTCTGTAGACCAGGGTGGCCTCAAACTCACAGAGATCAGTCAGCCTCTCCTCCCAAGTGCTGGGATTAAAGGCGTGTGCCACCAGCACCCAGCGATCCCACTTTTCTTAGTGGCACTGCTCTCACCCTCTATAGGTTAGACCCACCTGATCCCACTTTTCTTACAGCAGCCTTATCAGCTGTAGAGGGTGAGAGCAGTGCCATTATCTATCAGCTGGTACCCAACACTTACTAGGATGCTGGATAGTCATGGGGTATGCACCTTAAGTTTTCTATTCTATCAAGAATCTACTGCCTGTTTAGAAGATAGCTGATGGCATCCAGAAGCTGCACTTAGGGATCTGCTGCAACACTTAGCTGATACTGATTTTATTTGCAGTGACTGGATAAGGGGACACTAGATCCCAGGCAGGCACTTTCCACTCATGGCCAGGCTCCTCTGATGTCAGCCCTAGCTCAGAGCCTTCCCAGATTTTTTCAGGCTATACTGGACATGGAAACTCTTCCTAGCTGATCCGCCTTTTTCCATCTTCTCCTTTCACCTATGCATGCGCTATCTCCAGCTCCTCTTCTTTGCATCCTTCACAGCCTTCTCTTCCAAAGAGGAGAAGATGATTTTTCATCAGGACCTAACAACAATAATGTTAGCAGACTCTTCATTTCACTAAGCGCAAAGTGGAACTCCAGACAAACATGTAGAAGATGTACATATTCTACCATTCAGAAGCTACGCACTGAAAACACAGCACATCTACCTTTCAAAGAAAATTTACAGGATTGTAGGCTGCACAAGATAACATCATTTCTTCAGAAGCCTAAGCCCAATAGAACTTTCCCATTCATTGGAAAATGCACAGATACACTGGCCTCTAGAAAATAGAAGAGAGATGTTTGCAGCATCGCTGAGGTTTGATTCTGGAAACCCTGAAAACATGTTTATGTGAAAACAAGTATCACAATAAGAAAATAGCCACAGAACTACTCATCATGAATAGGCCTTGACCCTCAGTTCCGCATGGATACAGGACATTTTGGTTTTAATACAACTCACACAATTTCACCTCACAGAAATGCAATCTATGCCATGTAGAGAATATGAAGTTTCAAAACTTACATGTCTTCTTTTTCTTTCACAGTGACAAATCTGATTTCTCATATTCACAAAAGATACTGAATGTATAAGGAAAAATAATAGAATTGTTCTGTGGCATTTTTTAACCTTTACAAATATCTAAATGTGAAAGTATACACATACTTTACAAAGGGAGTGCAAGCTTGTCTCCATGGCATAGTATTTGAAAGGAAGCAGTACTTACCTTCACTGGAGTCTTTTGAACTTTCTGGTTTCTTCGCTTTGCTCTTCTTGTGGGGTGGAGAAAGGCCTTTAGGCTCTAGGCCTTCTGGAAATATAAAGATTAATAATTCTTATTTAAATATTTACCAGTAAGGTTCAGAATGTGTTAAAGTTTAAAGATATTTTCTCCGTAGTAACCTCGGCCTACCCCCACCTCCCCCCCCCATACTTACTGAACCTTAGCTACAGATTATCATTGTGGCTGAACTAAATTTTGTCAAGGAGCTTGCATTCTCCATCTTACTACATAGATGTAAACTTAAGCTCCAATATTTTTTCTGTAGACATAATCAATGATTCATACAAATGCCAAATCATGTACAAGTGTTATTTTAAAAATTGAATAATTCTCCATAAGAGAAGTCCAAGAGATTGTGTTTTACATTTCATGGCTAAGTAGGTGCCATTATGCCTTTCATTTTAGTCCTCATAGGTAGGCGAAATGAAATATGTCACCTCACCCTTGAGGTACGGGAGCACTAGGAAAGAGTCTGCTTCCATTGAACAGGCTCCCTTTGTAATCTAGAATCTAAGTAACAAGGTCATGAGTCCCTGACTTATCTATTGTGTTTAACAATTTTCTCAATGTTTTCTTAAATCTAGGAACTAGGAAAGACTGAAGAGTCTGGAGAGACAGCTCTCAATCCAGCCCATCTGATGAGAATGTTTACTGGCTTTGAGTTGCAGTTTCTACCTAATCTTTCTGCTGAGATCAGTGTTGGTATCTTCTGCCTTTGTTGTCTCATGTCTTTGGTTAGGGTTGGATGTCTTCTGATTGCTTTTCCATTCCATTGTCCACCTGGTAACACCTCTTCCTGTGCCCTAAGACTAGATGCTCTGGCTTGCACCACTAAACTCCTCAATACTCTATCTTCCTTCAATGCGGATCCCAAGAAATCTACTTTATGGAATCTTGGTACTCTTTGTGGGCTGACTGGCCCCTAAATTAAGGTGAGAGTCACTTTCAGCCTTATTCACAGGGTACAGGTCCCAAAGCCACCCTCATTATTACCCTATGCAAGGCTAGCACTTATATGTCCTACCCTCTCAGTCCAAATGGTTTCCCTTCACTCAACCCATACCAGGAAACTCAAATCTAAAACCAGTCAGAACTACCCATCATGTGTACAAACTTCTCTCTACAGTAACCCATGTCTGTAGGAATGGCATTGCATACTGTTTACCAAACAATTCAAACTAAAACCTAGATATCACCATTCAAACTTATTCTCACCGCCCCTCTACCCCCACAAGCCAACTAATGATGCCTTCTTTGCTCTAACATATCCTAGGCTCATCTATTATGAACTGTCCTGGCACCTGAGTCAGCAGCTCCTCTTGCTGTTTCTCAGTTCCTGCCTGTAGCCTTTCATTTCCACTTCTAAGAACCTTGTTTTGGCTCCTCCACATTGTGGTGATACATTATTTTTATGATTTATTAAAGCTTGCCTGAGGATTCAGAAACAAAGTCAGCCACAAGCCATAAAAGCCAGGCACACACCTTTAATCCTAGCAGCCAGAAGCTAGGAGGTGGTGGTACACACCTTTACTCCTAGAACCCAGGATTAAGAGGTAGACGGATCTCTCTGAGTTCAAGGCCACCCAGGGATACACAAGATTGAATCAGTCTAAAAGACTAACAGATCACATGCCTTTAATCCCAGTACTAGAGGGTTATAAAAGATAGCAACAGGGTCTTCAGTATTCAGTAGGAGGCATTGATACTCCAGCCACACTGGAAAGGCAGCAGGATCAGCCCAATTAAACTGAACTAGTGGTAAGAGCTAGTGGCCCACTACTTTGCTTTTCTGTTCTTCAATTTGAAGTTTGAATCCCAATATCAGTCTCTGGGTCTTTTATTTATTCACGTTACACCATACGTGAGCTTTTAAAACATAAGTCAGATGTGTGTGCTCCCCGTTTAAAAAGCACTACTCCTCATCCTCAACCACTTCCACTGCAAAGCACAATGTGCCGTTTGGCCCTGTTGACACCTATCATTTCACCTCCCATTTGCCTTACATGGTTTTCTTCAATTTCCCGTTTATTTGTAGTTTTTATGTGTGGATGTTTCCTATGCATGTGTGTCTATGCACCGCATGTCTGCAGTGTACACAGAAACCGGAAGAGGATCGCCTGGAACTGGAGTTACAGGTAGTCATGAGCTGCCATGTGGGTGCTGGGAATTGAACCTGGGTCCTCTGGAAGAATATCCAGTGTTCATAACTGCTGAGCCATCTCTCTCCAGCCCCCTTTTTATTTTAATTTTTTGAACCACAGGTAGGCTGATTCCTGCCCCAGGGCTTTGCTAATGTCCTACACTACAGTACCTCTAGCATATTTCTGCCTAGTTTGGGGTTTTCTTTTTACTCTTTTTATTTTTACAGACTAAATTCACCACCCCACCCACCCCACCCATGGTAGCTGGAGGCAAGGGAGGCTTTTCCTGCCCACACAGTGTAAAGAGCCTATAAGGGAAGCTTTTCAAAAATGCATCACTTGTATCTGGAATTATCTCCCTCTCTTGTTTATGTCTTTATTGTTCATTTACATACATATACAGCCAATTAAAAGTTTCATGAGAAAAAGGCACTTTTTTTTTTTTTTCAAATCCCTCCTGTATCCTTGGTGCTAAGAAGTACAGTGAGAATTTCATTTTAGAGTCTATTTTATTTTTGCTTCACTGGTCCTTTCTTTAAGTCCAAGATATAATAGGTCTATGCTTAATCCCCATTCTTTTAGCAGCTGTTGCCTTGTGCCAGAATTCTAAAATTACATTATGGAACTGTGGTTAACTCATTTCTCCCCTTCTCTCTTTCATCTATTAAAAAAGAAACAGAATACCAATAAACTAATCCCACATTTGATAGATGTGCTATTAAAAATTTTGGCATCATAGACTACAAAGGTGTGGGTCATAAGGCTAGGTTTTATGTGGTCACAAGTCAGTCATGGCTAAGGTTATTACCAAGGCCAGGGTGAAAAATATTGCCGATGACTGCATTAGCAACTTGCCGACTTCTGTCACAGGTGTGAGATGCATGCTGACCTTTTAGAGTGGTTCTTTTTAGAAATAAGGTCTTTTGGACAGCTCATTGCTTATAAATATCGGGTCCACCTAGAGTCACAAAGCAGGCAAGGCAACATTGTGATCTCACCATTAGAAGATCTAGTTCCATTGTTCCCTGAAGAGTACCCTAGCTGCCCTGTGGGCTAGGCAAAGTTTCTACAGATGAAAATGCAACTTCAAACCAGGGTTTCTTACACCTGAAAGTTTTGTTAATTGAATTCCAAGTTTGTTGTTTCCCACCTTAACAGAAATTCTTAGGGTCTAGGTGAAGTTTTCAAAGAAATCTGTTTGTCTACATTTAAAGATATTATAATACCCCAAAATACTAACATTTTCTATTTTAAACTACTCTCTGGGCATTTATTGGACATGAAAGCTTGCTGCATAGAAGGGCATGTATGAAATTCATGAGTATTTGACCATTTCCTGATGCCCACAGGATGATGAAATGAAAGTCACTGATAAACATGACCTCTGTGCAAAGTTCATACCTGAGGCTCAGCAACGGAATCACTCCCCTCTTGGTCTGAAGGGAGCTGAAGGAGAAGCTGATTTTTGTCTCTTTTTGAACACAGTGTCATGGGCCTTCTTCATGTGTACTATTTTAGGTCTCCTGTTTCTGGCAAAGGCTGGACTCTGGAGTTTAGCCATAAGCATGGCCCCCATACATCCCCTCCCCTAGGTGAGCAGCATTTAATGGTTGACATTGGTTGAGCCATGCTTAACCAATCAAGAGTGTGACACCATGGAGATGGAAGGGTATGGGGAAACATTTGCCAAACATCAATTCAGGATGATTAAAGAACTAAAAAGATGTTCTAAGTGTTTAAGCCAGCGTGTTTCTTTCAGAGGGAGAATGTCACCTTGAAGAACTATCAACTCCATTTGAGATGCTTCTGCCTCTATTTGTTCTAAGGGTCTGGAGACCACAGCACAAAGTTAAATCACATCAATTCTGGAGCAAGACAAACTTGGATTCAAATTCTAGCTCTACTATTTGAGTAAGAAATAACTGAAGCCTCCATAATAGAAGTCTATCTTTGTCAGCTGCTGTATGAAATAAACCCACTAACAACCAGTGATCTGGACAAGAGAATGCCCAGTTGAAGTTTGGTGCACTCAGCGGTATGCTAAGCCTGTCCTGAGCCAGCTCACACCAATAAATTGTGCTATCTGCCCCCAGTTCTCACATTTAAAAAGTCTGTGGCTGATATTGGCATGCTTGTGAAATTATCAGAAGCTTCCCATTGGAACTCACACCACCTATAGAGCCAATTGACAAGCATGGCATTGCTTTTAGATATTGCAGTTGTATTCACTGCCACTCAATAGCATCTGTTATCAAGCTGAGTCACTCAAGTAGCCCTTCACTAGGTCAATTGTATTCTTAACCATCTCTGTAGCTTTCCTACTTCTGTGAAAAGAGGTGATGTATAGCAGAAAGAAGGTCTTAGGAGAGAGCTGGACTCGTCTTGCAGACCATCGTACTTCACTGTGAGACTAGAATAAAACCAACCTGCACACCGACGTCTGACAGAACCAGCTGGAATGCTATGGACCAGCCAGCACACAGGTCTCCCATGGTTTCAACACTCAAACATTAGGAGATGCGAACAAGCTCCCCACACCTATTCTGTCTTGGTATCACAGATCAGTGTGACTTGTCCAGATGTTAAAGACAGAGAGCTCCCTGGAAATCTGACAGGATAAGAATAAAAAATAATGATAATACTCTGAAACTCAAATGCTGACTAAAGCTTGTGGAACCCTCTTTCCTTTCAACAATTTCTTTAAAATGAATCAATGGTTTGGATAGTTAGCTAACTATTTATGATGGCAAGTCCCTTTGCCTAGAAATGTGTACCTGTGGCACTGAGGCAAATGATCCATGGGAACATAAAGTTGGCTGAAAGGGCAGAACCCCTATGGCTGAAGAATCCTCCAAGGACACTTCATGCAAGGAATGCATGAGAATAACACTGGACTCATGCAAGTTAATTTAGGACAGGTTTTTTATAAATATGACATTCTACATGGACATAAGAATTGAAGTTTTTATAGAAATTTAATCTTGAGCTTTCTGTTTCACAAATTCAAGCAGAGTCCTGGTCTTAGGTTACATTGTCCCAGGTATAGATACTGGGACAATATTTCGTGTATAAGTAGCTAATTTGAGAATTAATCTCAGGATATATCAGAAAAGGACTAGTGAAATAAGACAGGAGAAGGAAGACAGAGAACTCTGCATATATACATGAACAAGTCCCACCATGGACATCATAAGCTTGAATCTTGGAGACTTCTTGGTAAAGATATAGATTCATGATGTTTAATATTCCAGCTATATAAACATTTCCAGTGAGAACTTGAAATGTACTTGCTTAATCTGAACTGAGATATGCATGGATGTCAAAGAAATTAAAACTTAGACATGATATCTAATAGAATATCTATATTGATTACAGGTTGGAGTGATAACATTTTTGGATAACTGTTATATAAAATTTTACTCAAATTAATTTCATTTATGTATTTTTTAACAAAAGTGCTAGAAAATATAAAATTACATATGAAGCTCATATATTTCTATTGATTATAATACAACATAGCCTAGAACTTGTCTCAGATGTGTGTGTGTGTGTGTGTGTGTGTGTGTGTGTTTAACATGAGTTCTTATAGGTATTAATAATAAAAGCCCAGCCAGGTGTTGGTGGTGCACGCCTTTAATCCCAGCACTCGGGAGGCAGAGGCAGGTGGATCTCTGTGAGTTCGAGGCCAGCCTGGTCTCCAGAGCGAGTGCCAGGATAGGCTCCAAAGCTACACAGAGAAACACTATCTTGAAAAACCAAAATAATAATAATAATAATAATAATAATAATAATAATAATAATAAAAGCCCAGAGTAAGATATTAAGGGGTGAAAGCTGAAAGATCAGAGAAGCAGAGCAGTCAGCTACTAGAGCTCTTACCTCTATGAAATTCCCACACTGAAAAGAGACTGAGTGCCTGTCTCCTTCTGTCTATATTCTTCTCTCTGCCCAGCCATATCACTTCCTGTCTGTCATTACAGGCATCCAGACCTCATGGTTAGTTAGTGACTAGCTTTGCCCTCTCTGATCTTCAGGCCAACTTTATTTGTTACCTTTTCTTTTTTATTTTAATGGCCTTGAGTTATTTTATTTATTTACGTGTGTGTGTGTGTGTGTGTGTGTGTGTGTGTGTGTGTGTGTTGCTGAGGTTTGAACAAATGTCCTTGTACAATGACTCTCACTAAGCTATACCACCTTCACAGGAGTCTAACCCTTATCCATCATTGGTGGGAGAGCTACTCCAGAGAAACACACTCACTAGTACATTGAATTTTCCTACATGAATAGACAAAGCCACTCAGATGAGTGCCATAAAAGCTATGATTAGAAAGTTTCCATTCAAAGTTAAGAATGTATGCTGAGGGAACATAGGCAGGGCTATGTTGCTGCTGCAAGAGTCCCTCCTCTGCTCCCTCCTTTCCATCTTCTGACTTTCACATCCTTCATCTACTTCTTACTTTAGTTGAGTCCATTGCCTTTGTAAGTAAGGGAACCTTATAAATCAGATATGTCTAGGCTGGAGAAAAGTAGAGAAAGCCTATGGTTATTGTTCAAGTGGACTTTTAAGAAGAAAGGGAGCAGATGCTATTTCTCTATGTAGTGAATGGATTTCCTAAGAGGGAAAGGATTAAACTAATGCAGAGAATGTCCATTTCAATGAACTCTCAGTTAATGAGACCCTTCATAACCCAATTTAAAGCTCTGTTAAATGGAGATGCTGAAACCAAGATTGTCAGTAACTTATAGGAAACCTTGATGTCAAAATTGTAGGATACACAAAACTAAAATCTTTGAGATATGTGTTTTAAAATTTGAAAGCTGGGCCCATTTCATGGCAAAAGCTTTGTGCTTGCTGAAATGGAGAATATGGGCCTCTTAATGATATCAGCTGCATGGATGGGAGAAGGACAACAGACAGTGACAGCATTGAGAAGCTTTATGAAGAGTTAAGCACTGTGGGCAGCATTTAAGGTACATTATCTCATGGAATCTTCTAAATTAAACAATATGGTGAGGATTGTTTCCCCAGAAGTGAACAATGAATATTGTAAAAAGATACTTAAAGTAAAAAAAAAATGTGTAGCTAGAACTGTGTTTGAGTCTATTGATCCATGAATTACTATTTATGGACATAGTGGGTGGCTCCCTTAATTCAGAGCTCACACTTTTAACTATCAGGTTTCCTTGTGATTCTAGTCTCTCTTGAATGGTTGTCATGTATCTTAATAATGAGAATGATATGTGCTATATGACATTCATAAAATATGGCCACAGGAACAGTTGAGGCATTACAGATTGTGAAGAAGCCTCTAGAATGGATGAAGTGATGCTATGGGATCTCTCCACCTTGACTTTCAGAAGGTGAAGCATCTCCCTGGCTCATTGACTCTTTCAAGACAAAATCAGCTGGTCACTATGCTGGGGGGACTTCTAGATCTTTTAAGTCACTTCAGATGTTAAATTCAGGAATTGCCTCCAGTAAGGCTTCAGCTCATAGTTGAGCCAGTCATCATCCAGGCAGGTAATTAAAAGAACTTTTGGAATACTCCAGGACCTTAGTGAGGCACAGATCTTATAAAAATCAGATTCCTCTACTCTGGAATTCTCAGACCTAGTTTATCAGCAAAACAAACTGTTGTCTTGAGCACCAAGATATGGTGATGGTTTCTTTATAATTCTGCTGGTAATGCTGGAACATAATCTTCCTTCCTTCCTTCCTTTCTTTCTTTCTTTCTTTCTTTCTTTCTTTCTTTCTTTCTCTCATTTTTTCCCTTTATGAAGAAGCTCGAAGTTCAATTAACGGTTAAACATAGTAACTCTATTTGCCTAAAGAGTTACTATAACTGCTTCCCTATTTCATGATGTTGAACACACATTTCTATTTTATTAATCTTATTCAGTCTTTCTTTAAAAATTATAGGATTTGACTAAAAATTTGTTCCCAAATTTACAGTCTTATTACCTGCATCTTCTTTCATGTCAGCATCAGATGTTCCTTCATTGTTATCATCTGTTGAAAAAGGAAAGATAAAGACTCAGATCAATGCAAGAAGCACCAGTATGTCCTGATTTGATTAATCAAATAACAAAAGAGAAGCAAAAGGAAAGTAGAAAGTCAAGAACTAAAGTAGACATTTCTCCTGTATCATCATGCTGGGTTTGAACAAAGTGGACCCATACAGTAGAACCTAACACAGAGGGTTACATTCTCCTTTATAACATCATGTATGAACCATAATTTGTTTTACTTATACAAAGTATGTATAGTCACACTGGTCATCTCAACTCTTCAAAACTGTTACATATGAACTTTAAAAAGCATGAATTCCCTCCTCCTCTGGCCTGACCACTACCAAGGTGAATGTACCCTCTGTTCCTGTCCTATTCCTACCCAACTTTCCATCCTCCCTGGATCTCTCTGGGCCTGCCCCAGCTTAGAGTGGACCCACCCAGACAGGGAGGAGCTCGCTGGAAACCACTCACGCTTCCTTCCCCTTTCTGCCGGCCCAACCTTTATCTACTGAGGAGACTACCAGGAGAGGCAAGACCATCCAGAGCTGCAGACATTGAAGCCTTGACCCACATGCACTTTTACTGCGTGACAAGAGGAGATAGAGAGACCCCACCTACACCCACTGGAAGAAGACATGGGAAGAAGACTGAATAAGAACACACTCAACAAAAAGACCAATATGACACCACCAAAATCAAGGGACTCCACACTAGCAAGATCTGAAAAGCCCAACACAGAGGATGAAGAAGAGATGGAACTCAAAATTATCTTAGGAAGATGCTAGAGACCTTTAAAGAGGAAACAAGAAAATCCCTTAAAGAAATAGAAGAAAAAACAAGCAAAAAATTACATGAAGTGGAGGAAAAGACAAACCAAAAAATCCAAGAAATAAACAAATCTCTCAAAGAGTCTAAAGAAAGCCAAGAAAAAACAACCAAACAAGTGAAGGAAGCACTCAAAACAGTACAAGGTACGAAAGCTGAAATAGAAACAATAAAGAAAACACAGAATGAGGCAATACTGGAAATAGAAAGGCTGGATAAACAATCAGGAACTAAAGATGTTGAGTATAACCAATAGAATTCAAGAAATGGAAGAGAGAATCTCAGTTGTTGAAGACTCTCTAGATGATATACAGTTATCAACCAAAGAAAATCTCAAGTCCAACAAATCCCTAACACAAAATATCCAGGAAATATGGGACACCTTGAAAAGGCCAAAAGGTATAGAAGAAGGTGAAGAAATACAGCTCAAAGGTACAGAAAACATATTCAACAAAATCATAGAAGAAAACTTCCCCAACCTACAGAAGGATATGCCTATGAAAGTACAAGAAGCTTATAGAACACCAAATAGACTGGACCACAAAAAGAAGTCCCCTCGACACATAATAATCAAAACACCAAACCTACAGAATAAAGAGAAAATATTAAGAGCAGCAAAGGAAAAAGGCCAAGTAACATATAAAGGCAGAACTATCAGAATCACTCCCGACTTCTCAATGGAAACTTTGAAAGCCAGAAGGTCCTGGATAGATATCCTACAAACACTAAGGGAGCGTGGATGCCAACCCAGACTACTGTATCCAGCAAAACTTTCAATCACTATAGATGGAGAAAACAAGATATTCCATGACAAAACCAGATTCAAACAATATTTATCCACCAATCCAGCCCTACAGAAAGTTCTGGAAGGAAAACTGCAACCCAATGAAGATAACTACACTCACAAAACATAGACAATAGATAATCCAATTTTACCAAACATGAAAAGAAACAGGAGGGAGAAATCCACAAACAATGACACCACCAACGATAAATCCAAAACAAACAAGAACCAACAATCAATGGACATTAATATCCCTCAATGTCAATGGTCTTAACCTGCCTATAAAAAGATACAGGCTAACCGAATGGATAAGCAGATAGAATCCATCCTTCTGCTGTTTCTGTATACAAGAAACACACCTCAACTTCAAAGACAGGCATTACCTCGGCGTTAAGGGATGGGAAAATATTTTCCAATCAAAAGGGCCCAAGAAACAAGCTGGTATAGCAATCCTAATATCTAACAAATTAGACTTCAAACTGAAATCAATCAAAGGAAGTCAGAAAGGGCATTTCATAACATCACAGGAAAAATTCATCAGGATGAAGTCTATGCCCCAAATACAAAGGCACCCACATTTGTAAAAGAAACATTACTAAAGCTCAAACCACACATAAAACCACACACGCTTATAGTAGGAGACTTCAACACCCATCTTTCACTACTAGACAGGACCACCAGGCAGAAACTTAACAAAGAAACAAAGGATCTATCAGAAGTTATGACCCAACTGGGTTCAACAGATACCAATAGAACAGTCCATCCAAACACAAAAGAATATACCTTCTTCTCAGCACCACATGGAACCTTCTCTAAAAGTGACCACTTAGTTGGCAACAAAGCAAACCCCCACAGATACAAAAGAATTGAAATAATCCTCTTTATCTTATCAGATCACCAGGTTTTAAAGTTAGAATTCAACAGCAATACAAATTGCAGAAAACCTACAAACTGGTAGAAATTGAATAACACCCAATTGCACCATTCCTGGGTCAAAGAAGAAATAAAAAAAGAAGTTAATGACTTCTTAGAATTTAATGAGAATGTAGACACAACATACCCAAACTAATGGGACACTCTGATAGCTGTGCTAAGAGAAAAGTTCATAGCACTAAGTGCCCTCATGAAGAAACTGGAGAATAGTCACACCAGAGAATTGACAGAACAACTGAAATGTTTAGAGCAAAAAAAGAAGCAAACTCACCACAGAGGAGTAGATGCCAGGAAATAATCAAACTGAGGGTTGAAATCAATAAAGTAGAAACTAGGTAAACATTACAAAGAATCAATGACACAAAGAGTTGGTTCTTTGAGAAAACCAACAAGATAGGCAAACCTCTATCCAAACTAACCAAAAGGCAGAGATACAGCATGCTAATTAACAAAATCAGAAACAAAAAGGGGGATGTAACAACAGACACTGAGGAAATCCAGAGAATCATCCTGTCATACTTTGAAAACCTTTACTCCACAAAATTCGAAAACCTAAAGGAAATGGACAGTTTTCTGGATAGATTTCACTTACCAAAATTAATCCAAGAACAGATAAGCAGTTTAAATTGATCTATAACCACTAATGAAATAGAAGCAGTTATCAAAAGCTTCCCAACGAAAAAATGCCCAGGGCCAGATTGCTTCACTGCAGAATTCTACCAGAAATTCAAACAAGAGCTAATGCCAGTACTCCTCAAATTGTTCCACACAATAGAAGCAGAAGGGACATTGCCAAACTCTTTTTATGAGGCTACAATTATTTGATACTCAAGCAATACAAAGATGCAACTAAAAAGGAGAACTACAGACCAATATCCCTCATGAACATCGATGCAAAAACACTCAACAAAATATTGCCAAATCGAATCCAAGAACACATCAGAAAAATCATCCACTATGACCAAGTAGGCTTCATCCCAGGGAAGCAAGGATGGTTCAATATACAAAAATCCATCAATGTAATCCACCATATAAACAAGCAGAAAAAGTAAAACCACATGATCATCTCACTAGATGCTGAAAAAACCTTTGACAAAATCCAACATCCCTGCATGATAAAAATCATAGAGAGAACAGGAATAACAGGAACATATCTAAACATGATAAAAGCAATATACACCAAAGCAATAGGCAACATCAAACTAAATGGAGAGAAACTTAAGGCGATTCCTCTAAAATCAGGAACAAGAGATGGCTGTCCACTCTCTCCATATCTCTTTAGTATTGTGCTTGAAATTCTAGCTAGAGCAATAAGACAAGAAAAGGAGATCAAAGGGATACAAATTGGAAAGGAAGAAGTCAAACTTTCACTATTTGCAGATGATATGATCCTCTACATAAGTGACCCGAAAAACTCTACCAGGGAACTCCTACATCTGATAAACACCTTCAGGAAAGTAGCAGGATACAAAATTAACTAAAAAAAATCAGTAGTCCTACTATATACAGATGATAAATGCAATGAGAAAGAAATTAGAGAAACATCATCCTTCACAATATCCACAAGCAACATAAAATATCTTGCAGTAACTCTAACCAAAAAAGTGAAAGACCTGTACAGTAAGAACTTTGAGTCTTTAAAGAAAGAAGTTAAAGAAGATACCAGAAAATGGAAAGATCTACCATGCTCTTGGATCGGTAGAATCAACATAGTAAAAATGGCAATCTTGCCCAAAGCAATCTATAGATTCAACGCAATCCCCATCAAAGTGCCAATACAGTTCTTTACAGACCTTGAAAGAACAATACTCAACTTTATATGGAAAAACAAAAAACCCAGGATAGCCAAAACAACTCTGTACAATAAAGGGTCTTCTGGAGGCATCACCATCCCTGACTTAGAGCTCTAATATAGAGTCATAGGTCTGAAAACAGCTTGCTATTGGCACAAAAATAGACAGATAGACCAATGGAATCAAATTGAAAACCCTGATATTAACCCACACACCTACGAACACCTTATTTTTTGACAAAGATGCTAAGTCTATACAATGGAAAAAAGATAGCATCTTCAACAAATATTGCTGGCACAACTGGATTTGGATTGCAGATATATTGCAGACAAATCATATTTGTCACCATGCACAAAAGTTAAGTGCAAATAGATAAAAGACCTCAACATAAATCCAGCCACACTGAATCTTCTAGAAGAGAAAGTGGGAGATACCCTTGAAC